GACAAGATTTACAAACAAGACAATCAAAACTGTGGGTGCTTCCTTTATTTAAAAAAAAAAAAAAAAGGAAAATGCAGGGGATTCTCTCTCTCTCTCTCTCTCTCTCTCTCTCTCTCTATATATATATATATATATATGATGACATTTTAAGGGCTTTGTTGAAAGAGTAGAATTGCTTTGTTTCTTATCCCATGATGAGTGAAAGAAATGTTTAAGAAAGATCGTTTTACAGTGAGATTCATACTGAAATGCGATGACCGTGATTCAAGCCAAGCCAAAAATTACAGCTCAGAATTAGAAGGGATAGACATGGCTTGGGAATCCATTTTCCCACATTCCTGAATCTCAATCATCCCAGCTAATGTTTAAAAGAAAATAGAGTGGGAAACAATGAGGTCATTTTGTTTGGTTACAAAAAATAAAGAATACTCTTAACAATAAAATATAGTAAGTATGTTTATGGGGGTGACTGCTTATTTACAAGGAAAACACATCATGAATGACAGAACTTTCATGATTTTCTCACATTTTATAAGCTCTAAAGTACATGTTTTGTACTTTTATCATGATAGACCTTACAAAGAAGTCTTGCTGACATCATTGTTGCAAACAGTGTGTGTGACTGTACTGAAAACTCCTCAGTTGGCAAAAGCAGCATTACATAACAAGGAAGATAAAGTCCTGGGCTGGGTTGATTTGTATATTTAACTACCAGTCTGCATGCTGATGAGTAGAGCAGTCTTTAAATTCTGTTTATAGTTATCCTTACCATTTGTACCTAGATAGTGAAACCTTCTCACATCAAGCAGTAGGGACAGGGATAAAGAAAACTGTATAACTTATCTGTAGCAAGAAGATCAAAATGCAGCTGTTCAAGCTAAAAGACTGAATAGCAACAGCTGTTGAAGCTACACTGCCAGGTTAGGCAGAAATCAAGCACCTTCCAGAAGTGGCACTGACATTTCCCTGCCTGCATGCCTTCTCCCAAGCAGGTAAACCCAGATACAAGTATTTTTTCACTTCAGTCCAGTATGGGAAGGCTTTCTAGGCATCCTGACCCTGCAGCTGCTAAACAATACTTGGCCTTCGTACTAACTTTGGGGAGCAGGTAGGAATTACCAAGCTGCTGGGACAACCTATGCAGCTTCAAGTCATGAGGAAGGATTTCTCTTTGTCCTGCTGGACAGATAGGAAGTATGGCAGCAGAACCACTGAAGCCCATAGGGGTTCTCAGCAGGTGGGATGAAAGGTTTACCTACTGGAAAGTTTTACCTACTGGTAGGCAGGATGTGAAAATCATGGCCCTAACTCAACAATATGCACTAAGTTTCTGGCTATAGATGCTAGGATTCTAGAAAGAAAGAAAAGGAATAATTCCTATCCTAGATATAAGCTCGGAAGCTTATAAGATTTATGGTGGGAATGAATTGTAACAGCTGCATTATTTCTTGACTGATATTTTGAGCACCGTTTGTATTATGATTCCTGGTTTTTTGTCCATCCTATCCTAAGCTCCTTCAAACAAAAAAGGGAGAAGAAAATATTGATATGCTCTAGGGGAAAGGCAATGATCTGTCTCAATGATAAACACCATTTTGAAACATTAGAAGGTCAGCATATACTATGCTAGGAGCTGGATTTTATTGCTGTGGTAGTGTGTTGTTCCAGAATGTTCTTAACCACTAAAAGTGAATGCCATCACCAAATGAGAAACTTGAAAAGAGTTTTGTTTTATCTCTCACCCATCCCCCTGCCTGCAAAGTATTTGAAGCCTACCATGAAGAAACACTGACAGTTGAATAGGGATGTTTTTGTTCTTGATAAAGGTGCTCTTAGAAGTTGAAGTTGTTTTCTTTGAAAACTGTTCAGAAGCTCAGAGCAGAATAACGTTAAAGACAGATTTTTTAAAAAAAAATCTCTCCCTCCCTCCCTCCCTCCCTCTCTCAATTCCATCCTCCCTCCCTTTCTTAACACACACACACAGTCTAAACCTATTTCCAAAATAAGTAGTTTCTAATCCAGCTGGGATAATGTGGTCATAAAAAGGATGTCCAAATCCACCAATTTATATTGGTTTGGCTTGGCTTTAAAAGTATTTAAAGCAGAAAGTCTGTGGCATGTGTACATTGTAATTGCTGCAGCATTATGACCTTTTTTTTCTTTAGTCTGCCATATTGTTTAATGTTCAAATTGAATGCTAATTGGAGCAACTTTCAGTCATGTTTTCAAGACGACTATTAAAATATAATATCTTTCAGATCACTACAGTGTGTCATATTCAGTTTAACAATAGTGCCAAAAGATTATGAACAACTACTAATTTAATTTTAGACTTTAAGTATTACACTGTTACATTTAAGATGCTGGATGCATTCTTATAAACAAATATATCTCCTGCCATAAGACCAGTGGAGGTGTTTTCTTGCAACACAGGCAGGCATAAACCAGGGAAAGGAGGAGGTAAACACACAAGAACTGCTCCCACCATCCCCATGAACTATGTAGATCTTTGTGCATTTTGCACAAAGTTCTGAAAACTCAGAGGGTTCCCCCATCACAGGAGCTTTGGGAGCCTGTTCAGCCAATTGTGTTTACAGAACCCTTTTCAGGACTGTGCACTAAATACTTAAAGATCTATCAGGCAGTCAGGCACACTCTAACATCCCCTCCCGTGTTTAGACCCACCCATGCCATTAGTGGGCTGTTGTACAGACAGGGAGTCAATTCTGCTCTCAGTCACCTTAGCAGCATGATGCTTTCATGCATAATACAGAGGAAATTTCTTCTGTTTGGTGCAATCCACACAGTGTCTGCTGTCCCACCCCAAATTGTCCCTGCACACTTTAACTGTCATTTTTCATTCATTTCATTTAAAGGATACAACGTATTAAAGGTACACTGGTGTGAAAGGGTTCTCTGCTTAACTAATATTTGAATCCAAGTGAAAAGTTGGTTGGTGTGCTCTTGTTAAAAAGGAGCTGGTTTAGCATTGAGCGTAGTTAAAAATCAGTGTTGATCTATCCCTTGAGCATGATTAGGGGGCTTGCAGCAATGAGGCCAGACATGCACTGTCTTCTTCCTTGCCCTTCCTGGGTAATCAGAAGTGGAGCACACTGACTGAGTGGGTTCAGGAAGTGGGAACCGTTACTTAAACAGTGGTCATCCCTGCCCTTAAGGAAATGCAGACACTCCTGAAGAAAGCTAATCTGGACACAGTGGTACTTAAGAAGGTCATGGCAGGTTACTGCAGACCCCACCACAACTGGGTGATACTGATCATCTACAGCAAATTTAGTCTGGGTTTCAGTCTGGCTAGACTTGGTTATCAGGGGAGAGAGAGAAAGAAGGGGGAATACAGCCCTATTAATCTTGCTTGATCTCACAAGCATGGCAACCTCCTGGGCCACCTCCAGTTGGACCCTGAATGCCCTGTGTTAGAAGGTCCCCTGTAAAGTTTGATTGCAGAGTTGATTTCAGAGAGCAACACTGGTTGACTATTCCTTGGCCCCTTGGCAACTGGGCTAAGAGGTTCTGCAGGATACTATTTTGCACGTGATCCTTTATAGGAAGCTGCTGCACATGGCCACTAAGGAGATTGGGATCCAAGTACCATCAGTACCCTGCTGATGCACAGCTTTGTCCCCTTGTGACACCTGAATCAGGTCAGACTGTGCAAATCCTGGAATGGTGGCTAGCCTCAGCGATGGACTGAATGAAGCTTATGAATACACTGAAAGCTTATGAGGGTGAGCGGTTCTTGAATCTAGGAGACCGGCTCATTGCCTGTTCTGGGTGGAATTAGGTTTGAAGTCTGGGGATTCTGTGGATCCACCTCCTTCACTGGAGGCCCCGGTGGTCATGGCAGCTCAGTATGCCTTCTGCCAGTGTCAGTTTCTGGAAAGGCTGTAGGTGATGTAAGTGCAAGTGAACTGCAATCTGGATTACTGCAATGGACTCTGTGTAGGGTCTGCAAGCTAGTACAGAATGCAGCCATCTGGCTGTAGTCCTTTTAAAGCATGTGACTCCTTTTCTGAGCAAGCTGCACTGGCCATATCTCTGTTACTGGGGCAGGTTCACTGGTTACTGGTATATGAATTCCTAAACAATTTTGGGCCAGACATTTGTGGGAAAACTATCTTTCTTACCAAGCTGCCCAGTAAGTGAGGTTATCACTTGAGTCATCCTGTTGGTTACAGATGGACTTGTAAAAGTCAGAGTAAAACTGTACGTTTAATGGCTCCTTCCCTCTGGAACTCCCTGCCTTTTTATGCCTGGCAGGCAGAAGCATTGTTTAGTTCTGTCCCTGCTGAAAACATTTTAATGCAGCTTGCTTGATTTTATTATTATAATCTGATCTTAATTATTTATTTTAATTCCATTTGCTCTGGCATCTACTTGGATGCATGGTATATATAAATCCTGTAAATACAATATATTTTTTTTAAATGGGAACAGGGAATTTGCTCTGAGGAATCACACCGCCTGCACCTGTTCACTTGACTGTTTCTAAGGTTTTGTAGTCATTAGTTCTACTTAGCCCTTATGCTGTAATTCAGAATTATTATTATTTAAAACTAATCATATACATGGAAAAAGCCCAATCCAGAGTTGCAAGCATGGAATTTCCAGATAGAGCTTTCCTCCTTTGCCGTTCAGCAGAAGTGAAAATTCTACACATAATATTTGCGTACATAGAGCTTTTCTTCCCTTTAAATGAATGGGAGTGTTTGTAGACACTGAGCTATGTATGTATGACTAATTCCTACACCTTCATGTCATTCCCACACCTTCAGATAATTTCTGTTTCAGAAGCAACAATGTTTTCCTCTTCAGACAGAAAAGGAACACTCTGTAACTCTATTCCATCAAGTGAATTATTATCAAGAAGTTCACTGAAGTACATATTTCTCTATATTTGTTAGAACATTTATATTTCCTTGACAGACATCTTAAGTATAACACTCACACAAGCCAATATGAAGTATGTTTTCCTTTTTCAGGTCTGGATGTTGATGGAATATACAGAGTCAGCGGCAATCTGGCAACGATACAAAAGTTACGATTTGTTGTCAATCAGGGTAAGTGATTTCTTCGCCCTGTAATGTTTTGTTTAGTACTTATCTGTCTGAAATGACAATACAATGGATTTTAGAAGCTGTGGTACATTAGTGGCACAGAATGATGAGTGGCATTTTGCAGAAGAGAGGAAGAAGAAATGTACAGAGATAGAGCAAACAACCAGAGAATGGGTTGGAAGTGGAAGAGGAAGTTATAGCATAAGGAAAACAAGATGGTGGCACACACAAATGAGCAAACAACAAAGGCAAAAGGAAAGGGAAAATAGAACATAACATTACTGGCAAAGCTTATTTAAAAAAAAACACAAATGACTTTGCAATTTCAGGTGTGAGAAGGGAGAAAATATTTTTAAAAGCCTAAAGAAACATGGAAGAAGAAAGTTTTAGAAAAAAACAGCTGGCACAAAGATACTTGGGAACAGAATGGGAGGGAAAAGAGCAATAGTTGACATATGTTCCAAAACACATTTAAACTTTAAAAAATAATTTTACTGATTTTCTGTAATGCTAACATAACAGTCCTAATATTCTTAGAAAGAGTTGGATGCTTGCGTCATGAAGTAAGCAAAGCTATTCCCAAGACATAAGTCGTGTTGCTGAATTGTATGTATATCACCTCTTAATATTCAGACAGGGTCATAATGAGAACTTCTGCAAGGTATCACTGGTTCAGATAAACTAGGATATGCATTTATTTGCAACCTTTACTTAAATCACCTTCCCATGACTAACAATGGTCTGTGTTCCTTTATGCCAAGAATGAAATGCCACTTGTCCTGGATATACCTTAGGAATGCATAAGGTTGCCAGGTCCACTGCCTGGAAAGATGTACATAGAATTGCTGTTTGTGACACCTGCAACCTCCATGTGTAGATTATTCACACAAGTGCTGTGATTTGTATAATTCCAGAGATCCAAAGACAAGTGCCAGGATTTATTTTGGTGATCATGTTGACAGCCCCACAATAGTTTCTTTGTGTGAGCCAAGAAACCTCACTGACTTTCCAGGTGGCCTCTGGTCACTGTAGGACACAGTCATGGTGGTGATGGTGGTTACATGCCATCAAGTCATCTCTGACTTGCAAAGACCCTCTGAGTGAATTCCCTCCAAAATATCTTGTCCTTGACATGCCTGCTCAGCTCTTGTAAATTCAAGCTATGGCTTCCTTTATGGAATATAGCCATCTTCTGCCATTAGCTTTCCCTAGCATTATTGTTGCAGCGATATAATCCGTAACTGAAAAGCCCATTTACTGAAGCATTAAGGCCTGGCTCGATCTGTTGGACTTCATATTGTGGTGTGGCCACACTGGCACTCATTGTGACACAATGAAACTGGTTACATGTCAGCTTTGTAAATGAGTGGTTGAGGCTAAACTTTTAGAAGAACTTCTGTTCTTTTAGGCATTTGGAATTAAAATCCCTAGAAGAGTTTTATCATTTATTTTCCATGTAAAAGACTGTGGAATAGTATTACATATTGTTACTTGCTACTCTTTTCCTTCCTGTGTGTTAGTTAGGTGTTCTATTTTGTGACATGTCCTTATTTTGAAGTTCATATACATATGGCACACTTATTTCTAAAGAATAGCCTCACATTACAAATGCAACCATAAGACATTTAAAATTAGAGGAGGAAAATCCCAGAAAGGATCAAATTCTTCCCCAATGTAACTCCACTGAAGTCTATTTAAAACATTTCTATGAACTTGTCATCAAATATATGCAAAGGATTTCAACACTTTGAGTTTGATGGAATTACACCAGGGATGAACTAAGCCCTGCATCTCTGTATGAAACTGAATTGCCAAATCCATCCCAAGCCACCAAGTCAGTAAAGCCATTCAACTTAAAAATAAAAAAGTAAGTCAAAGCTCTTATTTCACCATGCAAGCTCTAGTTAGATAGCATTTCTTCCTGTTCCCAGAAGTCCTGTTTCAGATGTTCATCCTCTGTTCTTGTTGCTGCTTTAAAGTACTGTGGAAGAGACCAAACAACTTGATCAATCATCCCTTAATGCATGCCATCACCTTCTTTCCTCATGCAAATCCAGTGGTTTGGGGTCCAATCTGCAGGGTTGCTGGGAAATGGGAACTTTCTTGTTATTTGTGTGTGGGGGGGGGGGGGGGTTATACATATTGTGTAAAAGTATTCTATATTGGAACCTACTGACACATACCTGTGAGTCAGAGTAGACAGTTTGGCTCGGATAGCGGAAAATGGGAGTGTTTCAGAAGTACCTGTAATCTCTCATTGAAAATGGAAGATCATCTGGCTAAGGTGAAAAGGCAAAAGTAGCCATGAGCAATTTAGAAGAAAGAGCCATCAGAGGAACCTGCAGGGATGGTGGGGGGGGGGGGATTCCTAATTCATCAACACATAGAACTTTAATCAAAGGATCTGTTTGCTTAATTGATTAACAATGCAGCCCTCGATTTATTATATATTTAGAAGATATTCAGAAACAGGGGAATAAAAATAATGAGATATTTGCACATGAAATAAGACCAAGTTAGAGCAGGGACTTCTGTCTTTTATGCTAACTTTTTTTTCTTTTTGTTCCCTCAACCCTTTAGGGATACCCTGCAAAATTTTGTTGCAGGGTTACCCTTGTCTCTTCTAAATTGTAACACTTAGACCTCCTGGACTACATTCTCATTTGAAGGAAGGATGTTGTAAAAAATTGGTCCACAAGTTTGAGTGAATTTACATAATTCACACTTCCCAGTCCAATATGTGAATTGCAACAGTTGCTCTTCAGATTGCAAACTTCTCTGAATTTTTTACTGTAGTTCTTGGCTCAAAAGTTGCAAACAAAAATGTGTGGATAAGGGAAAGTTGTACACAAACATATATGTGAATGTTTCTGTGTGTTTTTAAAGAAATTTCAGGATGATTTACTAATTAGATGGAGTAGATTTATGATTATTTGTGAAAGTGAGATAGATTGCCTATAGAGTCATACCCCACTAATTTCAGATATACTTACATTTTAACCAACTACAGAGAAGGATAGCATTAGAATGGATGGCATTCTAGTTCTCAGGCATTCTAAGTCCCACCTGCCTTGGCAAACCTATCATTTTACCAAGATGAGAGCTCAGACCTGGATGACAATGCTAGAAGCAAAGCTACCACAATACCTCTGAGCCAGCTTTCCCCCATAATTCACAGGCATCATCCCTCACAAAGAGACATAAATGATATTATTTTGATGCATTTATTATTTAATTCTTACTATTTGCCTAAATCTTGGAAGGGTTGCATATGCAGGTTTGTGCACAGGCAATGAATGTAATGACTCTTAAAAGTTTGGACTATGAAATAGTTCTTCATATTTTTGTAAATAAAAAAGACAGCCAAATTACAACCTTCCAATCACTTTCTTCAGTTCTGGATTAGTTCCCTGCTTTTCAAGCAGTTTAAATATTAGAGCCTATGACCATAAGCTATGCATACATATGTACAGGCAAGTTCTATTAAAGACATTGTTACTGTGTTTAAATGGTGCTTTATGTTTCTTATTTTATTACCCCCTTATAGATAATATTTCAGATTCAATACTTATTAAATCTTATTATTTCTGGGAGAACATATGTCAGATCTCCCCCATCAAGGGCAGAGACCAAAGGCCACTCTCAGGGATCTGATCTCAACACTCTCTCCACCTTAGAAACCTCCAAGGCTGGTTCTCCTTCAGCCTTCAGTGTCACAAAGGGAAAAGGAAGCATGTGAGGGAAGAGCAGTGACATAGACAAAATCGTTGTGATGGTCCACTCAACCCTGGAACTGGCATAGTTTAATTCCATTCCACTGAAAGCAATGAAAGGATTTTTAAATATTTTTTGGAGGGAAATGGAAATAAAAAACGCTGTTCTTCCCTCAAATACATCCTCTGGTATGAGCTCAGTGGGACTTTAGATTTCTCCAGGCCTCTGTTGTTGGAGTCCTGCCACAGGTAGGGTTGCTCTGTAAATCTGTTTCTGATAAATTATTTGATGAATAACGAAACAGTATGCAAAACTACAACCCTACATTCTTGTGTTTAATCATAAAATGCCATAGGTTAATTCTGGACAAACTGCTGAGGCTGAGCTAGGCCACTGAATGTATACAAAGAACCTGATAGGTGGTACCAATGCATTAAATAGATATCTTGGTTCACTATAGGTGTGACTTAGAATTACCTTCTCATCTGTAAATGGCTTGAAAAATAGATCCCCAAGTACACACGGTTTTATACTGTTAACAACAAAACTGACCGCTTCTGTATATTCTATGTTCCTTTTCAGGCCTCTGAGCACTGAAAAGGAACATAGAATATGACAAAAGCATAAAGCACTGCTCCTTCATTTTGAAAATAATTGACGATATGGATGTGTTCATACATTGTGCTAAGCCACCCTGAGAACTTGGTCTTTGTCATGTCCCTCCGTTTTTCTGAAATTAGTTGCCAGAGATCTGCGTAAGGTACAGAGCAGTGAGACAAATTAGTAAATGTGCACAAACTTCAAGGCAGAGCAGTGAAAGGGATTGGTAAAGATAGACAAATTTCAAGGCAGAGCAATGAAGCTTATCAGTAAAGAAAAGAACGTATCAAGGTAGGGTGGTGAAGCTGAGGAGCAAATTGAGCAAACCTCATAGCAGTGGGCTTTCAGATCAGGTCACTCTCTGGTGATCTTTCTTCTTAATTTTTAGGAACAAGGGATGGGGCGGCTGACAAGAGATGTATGAAAATTGTAGGAGCAATGCCAAGTTAGGAAGGAGGGTCAGCGGTTTTCACCAGTCCTGCTGGGGGTCCCTCTAACTGATCTGACAACTCACAGTTAGGTTTTCTGCCAGTTCAGGTTCAGCAACCCATCATGGGTGATCACCTGTGCTGGCTTGTTTTGTCATATGAACTGGGTCTGTATCTATTTCCTCCCTGAGCGTGGGAAATATTCCGGAAGAAGTAGAAAACCTCTGCCTTTTCCTTTTCTTTTATCCTTATCATTTTTCT